TTTGTTGTCATTTATACATACATCATCTACGTGGAGCTTGTTGTATATACTTTAAGAGAATTTCTTTTGTAACAGGCGTTTCGATGCTGTGGCAAATGGCTATAACAATATATAAGTAAATAATTTCTTGAAAAGAATTAATTATGTTGAAATGTACATACCTATTGCAGTTTTGAGAGCATTYGGAAATGATTTGTCAGTTCGCTCTCGCATAAATTTCCAATTTCCATTTTCAAATTTGCATTCAATTATTTTTCCATCCATATTTTTAAGTTCTTTAGTATATTTCATTCTGGCAAAAGGATCAGATTTACCACCTACATACAAATACCCAACTTTTGATTCCAACATTCTAAAACATACATAATCTATTAGTATGTTTTTAAGTTATGTTTTTATAGGTTGCACATATTATACCCAGTTCCACCTTCTGTAACAATTTTTAGTTTAAAATCAACAGAATTCAGTTCCAATGGTTTCCATTTCAAAACTTCTGGACACGTACCAGCTACATAAGGCTATGCAAAATTAAATATAAATTATTGGCAATCCATTAATCGCTACCAAATTGTATAGTGATAAATATAACAGTACATCAGTTGATGGTTGGAATATGAGACCATCAGGTTCATGGGATAAATTTTTACTAAAATTTCCCAGCAATTTATCAGAAGCATTTATGTCATAGAATTGTTTCAAACGAATACTAAATGGTTCTTGAGTTTTATCTAAACGACCACACATGATAKCCTGATGTCTGGGTTTAATTATATCAACCTAAAAACAAATGTCACAAAAACAAAATTAAAATATATACAACATAAATTTGGGTCACTTAGGACAAAATTTGACATTTTGGAAACACATTTAAATGGTTGCAAACAACATAATTTACTCTTTTTGATAGTTTAAGAAACGAAATAATATGAACCTTAAAATTCTATCATTGATAAAATTGTATATACTTGCATTTATATTATTACAGTTAATTTGTCAGTTTATTATATCTTAATTTATAACATGCATACGTTACAGAATATATCCTCAAATTATCATTTTTTGTAATAAAATTGTTTGTCATATTGTATTGGAATTATTTGGATATTCAATCAATTTTTAAGAGTCAAAAAAATAAAAATAGGACTTTAGATAGTAGTAAAATAAAAATATATAAATAGGTGGATGTTCATACTAAAAAAGATATATTTTTGATTTGAATGTAACAGATGTAGAATCGGTAGATAACATTAAATTTATTTCAAAAAATTGACTTAATATACTATTCAAAAATATAAAATATCAATTTTTTCTTAAATTTTATTTGTTTCAAAAGGTGAAATTAAGTTTTTATTTTGTTTTAATAGTTTAAAAAAATTAAATAATGTTTTTATTTAAAAAATTCTAAAATGTTGTCTGGAGCCACCAGACACACCTGAATTCGTTTTTAAACCATAACTACTGCATGACCAGAGTTACCCAACTTGTAAATTTGAATTAATGTTGATTGAAAAGTCTCTATTAGAATTATAGATATGTCTATATAGTATATAATATATTATTTTTTGGTAAATTTTAAATTAAAATTTCAACCAAGTTTTTAGCAAAATTACGTATAAAAATGTTTGAAGTTGTCTAGTTTTATGATATCTTCATAGAACATTTAATTAACTTATAACTGTTTATAGTTAGATCAATTTTTCAAATTCCTTAATGTTACTAAAGGTTAATAATATTTTGTGATACTTAATTGCATATTTCATACTTACTTCAATTAGCATACATCTATTTGGATAAAATGGTTGTTTACCAACATCAAAACCTTCAAATGCAACTACATCATATACTAAATAGCGTGGTATATTTTGTCCATCAACTTTATCAATAATCATTTCCTAAAACATTAAG